AAGAACTATCACTTGCATATTTGCTCCAAGATCTTGGTTTCGAAGAATCACCTAAAATATATATCATGTTTACAAAAATGTTAACTTTATTATTATATAATTATCTATGTAATTACAAAAAGTACCTAAATTTGCACAATGTTCAACAGATATTTTACAAGTATCAATGAACGTTTGATCAAAATAAGACTGCGCCAATTTTGCTTGTTCTTCCGTTTTGTAACCAATGAATGCAAATCGTCGAAATTTGCCCTCTTTCGTATATTTCAGCTGGACATCGGTTACAATACCCTTTTCGCTAAACAATTCTTTTAATTTGGTATCTGTCACCTATGTAAAATAAAAAAAACTATATAACTTTGCAGCAATTATGTTAAATAAAAAAATATCAGAATAAACAGCATAAATGTCATTACATACATTCTTCGGCAAATTTTTAACCATTAGACGAGACATCTTGCAATGCCAATAATTTTTTGTATCTAAAAAACAATTTTTTCACTTATGTTTACAAATATAAATTCTGGATTACGAGACATGTAATTACGATACTTTTTTTACACAAAAAAATTATAAAGCCTTATGTCCACGATGTTAAAAATCGGTCTGAAATCTCGAACGAAATCAATTTGTATTGGTTAATTGGTCGAATTATTCAAACGCAATTAATCAATTCTCTTCTCATTCGAGATCTCGGATCAATTTCTAGCATCGTGGACATAAGACTTAATATGAGCACACGTGGAAATACCGGTTATGTTTTCTAACCACGTGAATGCGTTTCTATATTCTTCTTATTCTTTTCTGGTCGCGGAGTCAACACAGGCCGTGATCAATTCGAAATGAAAAAATAATTAATAAAAAGAAAATAGTTATGCGAGTGATAACCAAAAATGCGTGACAATAAAAACTTCCGTGGAGGCAAACATGTCCGATCCACATATGGCCATCCAAAGAGGACATAATGCATTTGTAATTTGTGAAAGAATCAGGATGATTGGTTGCAGTCCATTTAGCACTACAAATGCTTCGAACAGTTTGATTAACCAATATAAAGAATTGTATCAATTGATCAATCAAAAAATACTTTTAAGTATCTGTAGCATTAAACGGTACTAATCAAAATGATAAAAAATGACAGTTTTTTTCATTATTTTTAATAATAAAAATTTTCACTTCTCATGTTTCTGACCTAGGGAAAAAGTTACATGATCGATACTCTAGACTGCGTTCAGAAATATATTAGACGTATCATTTTATCCTTGTTGTTCATCGAATGTTAAACGAGGATAAAATAATATCCTGATGCATTTAGGTATTATTTCTAAACGCAGGGATACAACGAAATCTTCTCGAGCCGACTTAATTCGGGGCTGCGTTCCAATATTTACTACCAGTACTGAAAATATATAGTTCAGATAACGTATATTGTAGATTTTCAGTACTGGCAGTGAATATCGGAAACGCAGTCTGGATTTGACTACAAATTTACCATCACGATTAGCTCAGGTCAGATGTTGACTACGTGAAATTTCGTCCAAAGGAAGAAAGTTTATCAGTTTATATAAACGAGTTTTTCCGCCTTTACCAAAAATATATTACGAAAAAGTTTTTTGACCATCTGAAGTGCTCGGAAAAAAATATCGAAGTGCAATATAAATGGTTAGAAATTGAAGATTTTCAATTAATCTAAATTACATCTTTTTACGCCGCTTCCCCGTGACAGGAAGATCCGATTTGAACTGTTAGCTGTATTACTTGAGAAAGGTTTGTAACTGAAAGTGTTCTTCGATTTATTGGTAATATCTAATAAAAAATGTTTTATTATTTGGAACATTGTGATACATTTAGAAATAAAGAATTTGTATAAACATATTTTATGAATTACGATCTTTCTTGTTTATAATTACAAATTACAATTTTTTTATATTTAAACGTTTCACAATATTACTTTTGAATATATAGCACGCACATTACAAGTGACACTGATTACTTAAACAATGATTACTATAAGAGGTTAGATTTGATAAATATTGAGAAAAAAAGGAAGCTAAAACTTTAAATTAATCTTTTGAATTTATATTATAAATGTATTAATGAAATATTAATAGGAGAAAAATATAACAAAAGAAATAACAAAAGAAATTGCATTTTAGAATAAATTATGAAAAAAAGTTATTTGAAATATAATTTTTTAATGATAAAAATTATGGATTTCTTTCTGATTTCTTTAATTTTATGTAAATTATATCATCTAAGACAACAAATATGCTTGAATATTTGCTCCTGATACATTTGGAAATTTTGGAAAGTTATGCAATGTAATATGTATATATTATGTATATATGTTTATATTAACGGCTGATACAATTAATATATAGATGGAGACTGATTACGATGATGATCGAAGTGGTTGGGGAGATGAGATGAATCGAAGCACAGATGAGTGCAGTGGAGAAGATACATTTGATAATCCACAGGAAGTATTGAATGAATGCTTGGATAAATTTAAGACAGCTGATTATATAATGGAACCTGGTATTTTTGCTCAACTTAAGAGATACTTTCAAGCTGGAGGAAATCCTGAACAAGTTATAGAATTATTGTCGAAGAATTATACAGCTTGTGCACAGACAGCAAATCTTCTTGCAGAATGGCTGATTCTTGCCGGAGTGAAAGTCACTGATGTACAGGCAATGGTAGAAAACAATTTGAAGGACATGATTCTTAAAAATTTTGATCCCAAGAAAGCAGATAAGATCTTTACGGAAGAGGGTGAAACTCCTGCCTGGTTGACTGAAATGATACAACATCCAACTTGGCGATCTCTCATTTACAGACTTGCGGAGGAATACCCAGATTGTTTAATGTTAAATTTTACTATCAAACTTATATCTGATGCTGGATTCCAAGGCGAAATTACAAGTATTTCGACTGCAGCTCAACAAATTGAAGTTTTCTCACGTGTGTTGAAGACTGCAATTGCTGGATTTCTTCAAAATACAGAAAATTGGCAATCCAGTATACAAGAATGTGCAAAAATGGTATGTCACGGTCAGCATACCTATGTGTACAGTCAGGTTTTGTTGCAAATACTTGCACAAGAATCTCGTGGAGGTTTCATGATGAAAAGACTCTCTCAAGAAATTACTAAGTGTGCGCAACAAAATCGACATGATGTCACTCCGATAACAATGGCTTTGAATGGTGCTGCTAGTAGTCCTGGAGCATGTCAGGCACTGGCATCTATGTTATCAAGAAACACCTTAAATCCCGCTGATATTTCAGTCTTATTTAGGAATTATTCTGCACCGGAACCCCCTCCTATTGAATTGTTGCGTAATCCACAATTTTTAGGTAAATTAATAAAATTGTTAAAGATAATAAGAAATTTGATTTCCTTTCTTCTCATTTTCTTACTAATTCAAAGTTATTTATTTAAGTTAATTATAATTTATAATGGAAGTCATATATACTAATGTTATATGAATTCTCAAAACTGATTACAAATCATTAACTTTTTTATTTATAATCTTAAAATCTTTTATAAAAAACCAAGGTATGTTTACATGGAATAAGGATTGAGATTGAATCTGAAACTTATAAAATATAAGCCAATTCTATAAAATTGTGCATCACATTATAAACATTATTGACATATCGAATTATTGGAATTTGCCTTTGATTTTTGTTTTTATTATAATAAAATAATATTTTTTCAATTAACATTTTTTACATAGAGAGTTTTAGGATTGCTAGCTTTTCTATGACAAATGCTGACACTTAATTTTATTTATTCCAAAAAAATCATTTCTATTGACAATAATAATTTTGTATTTTTTTTTACAGAATTACTTGTTGATGCCCTTTTTAAACCTGGGGTAAAGATAAATCAGGAACATAAATCAAAATATATACATTTATTAGCTTATGCAGCGAGTGTATGTGAAACAGCTCCTAAGAAAAATAACACTCGTAAAATTAATAAAGATGAGTTAAAAACGACCATCCAGGCAATTGAGAAAGTACATAATATATGTAATATAAACAAAGGATCAACTGAGCTAATAGCAGAGTTACATACTTTATATCAATGCATACGGTATAAGAATTGATTTTTGATAATTTTTTAAATATATTTTTAATATCTTGTATAAAGAAAAATGTTTAATAAATTTGTTTATTATAGATTTCCTGTCGTAAGCGTAGGTATAATACGATGGGTAGAATGTACTGTGACTGAACCATCATACTTCAAATTATGTACAGAACATTGTCCTGTGCATTTGGCTTTGTTAGACGAAGTTGTTGTTTGCCATCCTTTATTGCATCCAAAAATATTAAGGTTACTTGTACAATTGTTTGAAAGCAAACAAGATGAATTAGAAATACTTGTACAAGTAAGTATATTTCAAATGGCAAAATTAAGTTATAAGATAAAGACCTGTTGATATTTTAAATGAATAATTTTTTTCATATAGTTGGAAATGAAAAAGATGTTGATTGACAGAATGGTGAATTTATTAAGTAGAGGCTGTGTAGTACCTGTTGTGTGCTACATTAAGCAATGTTGGCAACGTGGAGATACAGATATATCTTTAATTAGATATTTCGTTACCGAAGTAAATTATTTTGTTGTTTTTCCAATAATCTTATCAGTATATTGTATCAATATTTTATTATATAATAAATTAAATATATAAATATTTACAATATTATAGGTATTGGAAGCAATAGCTCCTCCATATACTGCTGAATTTGTACAATTATTTTTGCCAATGGTAAACAGTGAAGAGATTACTGGAGTGCGTGGAGAGAATGAAAGCGATCTAGTTTCAGAATTTATTGGTGAGTATAATCAAAAAAATATCTGATGGAATTATCTGGTGGAAGTGGACTTTTGTTTATATATATAAAACATACATCTTTTTTTAGTGTACTGCAACACACACTATCCCATGGTAAGATGACGCCATAAAAATTAATCACAGGTAGGTCAAATTGAAGAAAAAAAAAGAGTGATAGTGCGAAGAGATTGTTTTTATTTTACATGGAGATAGAGATCTTCATACATAACTTATGGCTATAAATATGTATTGGATGAATTCTGCATCCATCTGTGATATTGTCATCTAGGCATTTTCTGTAACAAAAATATTTGTACATATATAATTGTCATTAAATTTTAAAAAGGACGAAACTTGTAAGAACCACATGTAAAAATGAAGATGTTAAGTGGCTTTAAAGATGAATTTTAATTATTGTTAATCTGAAATTTGATACTCAAACAATTTATATTATGGCACAAAGAGCAAATGTCACATTTAGCTATAAGCTCATTTCTTTTATGCCAAAATGTTTGTTGCAGAAATCAAGTATAAATATAATAACGAAAACATAATTATTACATGCTTTTATATACGGTAAAAGGAAATGGATCACTCATTGTATTATATATACAATAATCAAATAAAAAAAGACAAAAGTATTAGAGGCATTCTATCAAAACAAAAAATATCTCGCTAAAGACGCTCACTTACTGATCATTATGATCACATCTTTTCAGCTGTAACAAAACATTGTATATGTAATGAAAGCATAAAAGAAGAATAAATATAGATTCTATAAGAGAATATTTTATAAAATTTCTGTAATGCTATAAAAATAAAATTAGAAGATATAGAATGATAAAGATATAGAAAGATAAAGATGTAGAAATAGATATAGAATGATAAAATTATATAAATGGAATATAATAAACTGCATGGAATATCAACCTGCTTTGGTAACATGAACCGAGAGTGTAATAATAAATTCGAGAGTATACATACTGATGGGTTTTCCATCCTTCCATTGAGTAAATTTCACATTGACTTCATCACGTTTAATAGCTTCTGCTCTAAAGTCAGCTTTCAAAGCCTGCCTGACTAACCTAGCTGCGATCTGAGAATAATTGATGTAACTGTAATAAGAAAAAAGTAAATTAATATATATCTATTTATATATATTTTGCGATTGTAAAAATGTTTCGTTACTAATAAGTAATGATTGAAATCGAATTAAAATGAATTTCTATGCTTTTTAATAATCAGAATAATCAGAAAAAGTCTGATTACATAACTATTTTGACAAATGATTTTTTGCATTTGATACACATGCGAGGAAAGGAATGTCAAGAATATGAAATATGAGGTACGACGATGATAATTGATTTCTTTACTTTAATCCCGCTTGTCTCCACGCTGACATTTTCACTCTTATCTATATTTCACAGGACACACAAGAAGAATCCGAGCCGCAGATGATACACGATCGTAGCGCCACTTGATAAGCCAATAAAAGAACTTTGTTTATATGTATAGCAAATCTCGGAAAAAAGAATTGATTTTTGTCGGACATAATTATTTTGTAAATGTATAAAAAAATTTAATTAAAATTAAAAAAGAATTATGTATTATTATTGCTATGTTCCAAATTCAGTCAGCGTTGGAAATATATAGTTTATGTAACGTGTACTATGGTGCAGCTACAGAGAATATATTCAATGTTCGTTTACATGAGTTCTCTTCTCATTGGTAGTTAAGAAAATTTGTTAAGTCAACCGCTATCTTTCAATGTTTCAATGAAAATGCACGAATCCTTATTGCGCATGCGCGCATAAGTAATAAGGATTTAGTAATTGGTCTTCAATAATTTTAATTTAAAAGTTACGTGTTGCTTGCACTCTCGAATTCTTACTCGCATCGAAACAGATTTATTTTTTCCATGGAAAGGTACATTGCGTAATTGAATAGTTATATTTAGAATTGATAAAAAGTCTACGATGCAGACAGAAGTTTTTAACATTTATTCACGTCAGAAATAAAAGAATATCATGCTGGCGCGTGCAATATTAAATTTCACACCTAATAAAGCGCAAATATATAATTTCACATAATACATTATTTAACTTTAATATACCATTAATATATTGCATCAATATAATATTAATATTTTATGAATACAACCAAATTATCAAACAATGGAGAGGAGTAGTGGGAGAGAATTTGGCGAATAAAATTCAAAGTGAATGCGAGAAATTTATTGTCATTGTTGTAGCGACAATCTCCCCTGCATTGATTAATATGATGGATTAATAGCTGCTAGTAAATAATCAAGATGAAATGAATGCGCCAGATCGCTAATAAATTTAATATTTTGTACAGGTGACAAGAAGGCTTCTTGTACAAAAAGTGCAGGCTGGACAAAGAAAAATATTTATGATGCGTAGCGATATCACGGAAATGAGATAAATGGATAAGTAAGCTTATATTGTGTACGTATAAATCATTATTTATAACATTTGTATCAAATAATTTAGACAATTTAGACAAAATATATTAAAAAAGAAAAATTATCATTCTATTGAATAAGAAAAAAATTGATTCATTAGAATCAAAATGTAATCCTAAGAATATAATGAAATAAATTTAGTGAATTTATGTGAAAAAAATAAGTTAATTTATTTTTTAAACACTTTTTTAATTATTTGAAAATCTGCACAAGTTATGATAAAGAATGTTAATAAATTTTACGAGCCACACTGTATGTAATATTGTTTAAAAAAAACATGATAATACTGTAATAATAACAAATTATTATATAGATGATAAATATAAAAATATAAGGACAGTAGGAAAAATTTGCTTAATAGCATATTTCAAACACAATGAAGCTAATATCGCATAAATTCATGCATGTGAAATAATAATGCAAATTCCTAAATTTTTAATCATGATTTATCGTTATTTTAGGTCGAACATGAAATTTTATTGTATCTAAAATATAATATTTTAACAATATATTTAGATATGTTAGTATTTTTTATTAACGAAAATTTACAAAATGTTAAATTCATAGTTTTGCACACCTGCTTAAGCGTGCAATTATGTATTATTCAAATTAGTTATTGCACACTTTCTTATCTGTATCCTACTTATTTATATAATTATCATCTAACAGGTTCTCTATAATTTGGTGTATATTATTTTGCCGGTTTTGCATTACACATGCGTGATTCTTATTCCTTTCCATCGTATAAATTATGCTTTCTGTCATGGCGATAACGCGATTCATGTTTTTTTCAAGGTAGTGTTCAAGCGTTGCGAATACTTTTGACGTTTCATAGTCTTCTAATTATCGCTAATTTTATACAAATAAAATTTCCACAAATAGAGTTTCCTATGATAAGTTTTGTTGACAACTGTTTCTTCTATCGCTAACAAAGTTCTTCGTTGCAGTTACCGATAAATTTTATTTCCCGTTGAATAGCGCGACGATGTAATGGTAAGGTATAAAAAATTTATTGTTGGAATTACAAATTATCGATCGAAGTTTCAATTTTAAACAAGTAGGTCATGGTTCTTCCGCCCTGTCATTGGTTATAAAAGAATACTATTTGTCTTGCATAATATGAAATGAATAACAAATTTAATAGATTATAACATAACAATGAAAAGATGTTTTTTCAAGAACAATTTTTTTTTAAATAATTTTTTTATCTTTTCTCTGACTTTGTTCAATAATTAATTTTTCTATTTTTTTCTGTAAATTATTCTGTTATTTAAAATACAATATACACAGACACGATAGGTCTATATTGAACATTTATTGATATTTTAATGTATATTAATTATTACTAATAACAATTAATTGAATGTTATATTTCAAAGCATAATTAATAAAAATCTCAAATGATATATATTGTGCAGACCCAAGAAAAAAAATTTTTTATATAATTTCTATACATAATTTTATATATAAAATGTGTTCTCATATAAAAATATATAATTATATATGAATATATTTAATTAAATATTATACATATATTTATATATATCTATACATAATCACATATAACTATTATTTTATATGTAATTATATATTTTTATATATAATTATATTTTATATTTGATATGTTATATATAATTATATACAATTATATCTTATTATATATTATATATATTATATCTAATTATATATAGAAAATACGGGTAATATGTTATTTAAAAACTAATTATTTTTTAG